AATAATAACTAGTGCTAATTGTAACGGGGACCGTTACAGATGTTCCCCAAACGCTCCCAAAATCCCTTTTTGTGCCTAATTACTGTAAGATATTTTAAAAAATATGAACAGTATTAAAGGATTTCATCAAAGAATGATAAAAGGTATAATGATATCAACTATAAGTCATTTAACGCACTGTACGCGTACGCACGTGCATGTACATGCAAGATGATCATAGCATGTTGTCTAAACAATTAACATATCTATATATCCTGAGAATAAATTAAAAAATTCTTTACAATATACATTATAATGAATTTTTTTTTTTAATATTGGTCATTTTGTGTATTTCCTGCGCGCACGTGCATGAATGAATGTCCCTGCATTCAATTTTGATAGTACCATTATGTAGAAATCCATTATACTTATTCATATTCTAAATTTTATCCCGTTTCGTTGAAAACTAAGAAAGTTATAGACATCTAAATTTTCAGCCAATCAGATTGCAGCACACGTGCATGCGCATGCTTTTCATGATAATTCTTATATACCATGTTGTAGATCTTTATAATGTATAACCATGTTCGAAATTTCAAAGGATTTTGTCGAAAAACAAGGAAGATATTGAGACTTTAGTTTCAGCCAATCAGAGCGAAGCGCACGTGCATGCGCATGAGATCTTGCTATTTTGACCATGTCTTCTAGTCTATGCTTCTAATATATCTTTATATTATAAGTTTCAAAACATTTCATAAAAAATTTAAATAGTTACGTCTATCTCAATTATATTGGACATTTCTGGTGTTGCACGTGCGCGCTCTTGTGCGCGCTCTTGCAAGCACACGTGCATGTACATTCTTTCATAATAATTCTTTTGTATCAGGCTGTAGATCTCCCTAATGTATGACTATATTCAAAATTTCAAAGGATTCTATCAAAAAACAAGAAAGATATTGAGACTTTAGTTTCAGCCAATCAGAGCAAAGCACACGTGCATGCGCATGAGATCTTGCTATTTTGACCATGTCATCTTGTCTATGCTACTAATATATCCTTATATTATGAGTTTCAAAACATTTCATCTAAAATTTAAAAAGTTACGGCAATATTCATTATATTGGTCATTTCACGTGTTGCACGTGCACGCTCTTGCAAGCACGTGCGCGCAAAATGACCTTCGTTCTGCAAATCTACATAACATGCCTACTGACCCTAAAAAGGTTTCACCTTAGTCGGATGTGTAGTTTACAAGATCACTCGCGGAAAAGATTTTCCCAGGAAGAAGAAAAATAATAATAATAATAAGAAACAGAGTAAAAACAATATGTTCCCCAACTTCGTTTGGGGAACATAACTAGTTCTAATTGTAACGGGGACCGTTACAGATGTTCCCCAAACGCTCCCCAACTCCCTTTTTGTGCCAATTTCCTTTAAAACTTTTTTAATATGCTCAGTATTGCAGGATTTCATTAAAAGATTTTAAAAGCTACAATGATATAAACTTTTTTGCCATTTAACGCACTGCACGCAAAAGCACGTGCATGCACATGCAAGGTGATCATGGCATATTGCTAAATCATTAACATTTCTTTATATATTCCACGAATCAATAAAAAGTCAAAAATATTAATGTTACCATTCTTCAAATATATTGTTCATTTTACGCATTGCGCATGCGCAAGTGCATGCAAGCACGTCCTTGCATTTTATTTTGATAGTAGTATCACGTAGGAATCCATTATACTTATTCATATTCTAAATTTCATCCTGTTTTGTTGAGAAACAAGAAAGTTATAGGCATTTAAAGTTTCAGCCAATCAGATTACAGCACACATGGATTCTCGTGTTTTTAAGATAATTCTTATATATCAGGCTGTAGATCTTCATAAGGTATGACTATGTTCAAAATTTCAAAGGATTATGATGTAAAACAAGAAAGATATTGAGACTTTAGTTTCAGCCAATGAGAGCGAAGCGCATGTGCATGCGCGTAAGTTCCTCCTATTTTGAGCATGTCATCTTGTCTATACTACCAATATATCCATGCATTGTGAATTTTAAAAAAATCCGTCATTAAATAGAAAAGTTACGGCTTTATCCATTATATTGGTAATTTCACATGTTGCACGCGCGCGCTCTTACCAGCACACGTGCATGTACATGCTTTTATCAAATTTTTTATATATCATGCTGTAGATCTTCATAATATGTGACTAAGTTCAAAATTGCAAAAGATTATGACGTAAAACAAGAAAGATATTGAGACTTCAGTTTCAGCCAATCAGAGCAAAGCGCACGTGCATGCGCGTGAGATCTTGCTTTATTGACCATGTCATCTTGTCTATATTACTAATATATCCTTACATTATGAGTTTCAAAACAGTTCATCAAAAAATAGAAAAGTTACGGCAATATCCATTATATTGGCCATTTAACGTGTTGCACGTGCTCGCTCTTGCAAGCACGTGCGCGCAAAATGACCTTCGTTCGGCAAATCTACATAACATCCCTACTAACCCTAAAAAGGTTTTACCTAAGTCAGATGTATTGTTTACAAGATCACTCGTGGACTAGATTTTCCCAGGAAGAAGAAAAATAATAATAATAATAATAATAATAATAATAATAATAAGAAACAGAGTAAAAACAATATGTTCCCCAACTTCGTTTGGGGAACATAATAATAATAAGAAACAGAGTAAAAACAATATGTTCCCCAACTTCGTGTGGGGAACATAATAATAATAAGAAACAGAGTAAAAACAATATGTTCCCCAACTTCGTTTGGGGAACATAATAATAAGAAACCGAGTAAAAACAATATGTTCCCAAACTCCGTTTGGGGAACATAACTAGTAGGTTTATCAATATCGAGATCTGAGCGAAGGAATAATTCTTATTCATTTTTAAATGCCCATTTTTCAGATGACTTGGTAGAATTTTCTCTAACTTAGAGCAGTGTAGCCACCTTTGGACTTCCGGTACAAGGACTGTCCTTAATGCATATGATACGTAAGACCCTGTTTAGGCGTAATGTAATGAATTTTTGCATTAACAACTCTCCATCACCTTTACATTGAAATTTTCCAGCTAGAGCAATGAAAATGCATACTTAAGCCATTTTCAAGAAGCCTTAGTATCGTTACGGGAAACGAAAGGAGAGTTTATTTTTTTTGAAATATTGCTGTATTACTTATGATGAACTGTAAAGACCTTCAAAAGTCCATAATATTGCAAAATAATTTGTTAAACATGCAATTTTTGATTTCTGTTAAGCAGACTCAAACTTGATTTCCGATTATGAAGTGAAAATCGCTCAACCTTTATATTACCGATGTTTACCAAATTGAAGATATCCATAATTTAAAGATACAAAATTCTTTACTTCACATAATTATTTCTCTCTAAAGTAGGGTGTTGCGTTTCTTTTGCGTGTCAGTATATTTCTGTTGGTGAATTTTAGTGTACTAGTAAATTGTCCCATTTTCATCTCCTTCTCCAGAACTGTGAAAAAATTCAAACTTTTGACTATAGAAAAAGAATTCTTTATCTCAAAGAGATTCAAATTTGTTCAAATAAAGGGTCATTATAAAAATATCATTCCAAGGGAGATAATCAAAACAGTCAACAATAAATACTAGACGAAATGTAGGCGTAGGAACCTGCACATCACAATTTTCATCTGAAGCCAGTTACTTTTTACTGTTAATTTAGAATAAAATATCGTTTGAAAGGCTGATCCCAAATTAATGGACCTAAGCCCCCACCCCCAAAACCGTCCATTTCCCACCTCAACCTCCTCAGGTGGCTAAATTGTTGCTTATTTTGAATGAAGAAAAAGGCAATAATTGTATAATATTTTGTGCCCAGAAATATTTCAAACGGTACTAGATATATTTTACATTTGTATAGGTTTCCTTAATCTACAGATAATATATAGCTATCTAGCGTAAATTTTATTTTATTCTTCTTAGATTTTACCTTTTTTTTGGCTCACTAGCAAGCGTCAACTTATTTAACTGCTATAGCTTGGTATGCAATTTGATCATCGTTCGTTGTATACCGGAGTCTGTTGGTTTTGCTTCTTAGTGTGAAATTTGGAGATAATAAAAACAGTGATCGATCTAAAAAAAATTGTTAACAATACTAATATGTGAAAAGGGCATAAAACACGATCCCCTGGAAATTCCCGAGCTGGGGTCAGGTGCCTAGGAGGAGTAAGAATCCCCTTTTGACGGGTCACACCCGGCGCGAGCCCTATGTACGGAACTTTCTGTAGTCAATTCAGTTGGTATAAAACAAAACGCACATATAGCAATTGGTATGAAACAATTTAAGCTATCTAAAATACGACCAGGCAATGAAAGGATATATAAAAAAGCTCATTATATATGACGATCGACCGTAAAATTCCAGAAATGCCTATTTTGAACGAGGTTGTTGAAAGCCCTGTAAGATCAACTTATCAGTAAGTTGCGTGCCTCGCTTTAAAAATTCATCGAACGGTACTCAAATTGCAAGCTCTTGAGTACCGAATAAGTTGGGAGATACAAACATAAATTTAAGTTGTTTATTGAGCTATAAAACCTTTATCGTATACAGACAGACAAAACATCAAAATTACGAAGCAGACGTGGCGGACTGTCAGGTGTCTTTTATTTCAAATTCACTGTCATGGGATATATCCAGTCGATATACGAATGAATATATTATATGGGGAGTGTCTATGATCTAATTAAAAAACAAAATTTAGAAAATGCATTTATTTACCATTTACATGTACATTTGTAAATACATTTTATGTCTATGCTGACTGAGGATCAAGTTTTTTATGCTTAAACGAAAATGTTCCAATACCGGGTTAAATCCGAACTTGGTTTTGTATTATATAATGTACTTTCGATTTGGATGGCAACCATTCGGCATTCGTCATCAAATAATAAATATTGCAATATTTTATGCCATAACGTCATTTTCCAAGAATGCAGTGTGTTGATATGAAAAATTAGCTGTATGTTCTTTTCATTTTCTAGTATTGATGTAATAATTTAAGTGTCTTATCGTCCACACTGACCACAGTATAAAATTGTGCTCATTTTACTAGACCTACACGGGTGCTAAATACCTGTATGACAAACTCAATGAGGTAAGTAAGCATTGAACAATAAGTCAGAGTTATAACATAGGGGGATAATGTTGAATAATCGACCAATTTAGGATCAAAAATAGTCCAAAACATGTTTCCAGAACCAGAAGTGTTTCGCAATTGGCTTGCCAGGATGTCTAACATCAAAATCCTGAACAACGCCTGGGAAACGTCAGGCAAGAAACCAAGCAAATTCTTGCTCTAGATATGTAGGTCGGGGGGGGGGGGGGTAAAATTTGGACAGACATATACTAGAGATCTTCTTTATTCCTTCATATGCATTACACACACAAGGTATTTTTTTCAGTTACTTTTTCTATAATGAAAATAATACAATATGTACATTCACTATACTTCTTGTAGATGATTTATCAAAGATAACACAATGAATGAAATGTTACTCTCATGACATGTAGATACATGTATCTACTAGTATTTTGTTCTATCATTTGGACCCTCCTCCTTCTTTGTTTTAGGTTAGTAAATCTAGAAGTTTTTTCTCAGTCTCAGCACATGGGAGATAATGGGGTTTTGACTGTATGCGTGAACTATGTATAATACATTATATGCAAGCAATCTATATTTATTACTTTATTTAAAAAAAAAACTTAAATAATGTTATGATAAGAAAAACAATTATGTAGGTCTCAACAATGATGACAGCTTTTTTTCATGTTGATTTTCTTATACAAGATTTCATCGTTAATCAAGTTCCTCATAACTTCATAAGTAAAGGTCTCTTCACACATGTTCTGTAGAGAGGGGGAAATAAAGTATGAACTTTGCTGCTGATGTCTTCAACGCTGTAACTCGACCTTTCCAGAGTCAGCAGTCTCGGTCTGGATCGACCAATCAACAGTCAGAGGAAGTGGAGAGAGAAGAAGACGGATTTCTGTTGGTTGCTGAAACAGAGAGTGAGAGAACTACAGTATACGCCAGCAATTTTACAGGGGATTCCCCTCCAGATTATAATCAGACACAGGTACTGTACAGAGAATACGTAAATGTATTATATTTAGCATGTATGATATTTGGCGGAAATTGAATTATGAACTAGTTAGTGGAAATTTGATTTAGCGTATCTCATAAAAATCTTCTTTATTTGCATATGTACAAGACATTTTGCTTTGTACTTGAATTAGCGGAACTTGCTTTCTGCCAAAAGCGCTAAAAAGAATATACAGCCAAATGTAATACGTTTACAGTAATTAAACTACAAGTTGTAGTTTGGTATCTCAAACTTCGATGTCTCAAATACCATGTCGGATATGTCCAAGTGATGTGGAAGTCCCAACTTCATATTTAATAAGTATCTTAACCTCAATATCTCGAATCGTGGGATATCTTAAAATTTTTCCTCAGTCCCATCAGGTTCGAGATAACAAAGTTTGACTATATTGTGGAATCATCAATGTTTGTTGATAATCATGGTATAAACCATTAATTTTTGTGAATTTCATAGGTCAACCTTATCCCATGAATTTACATCCAGGAGAACATTCATTTTTGTCAATATATTTATTTAATGAATCTTCTATACATACGAGTTTCCTATGAAATTACACCCTCACTTACCAACAAAATATTGCTAAATGCTTACTAATCAACATTGACCCCTCATAAATTAAAATGAATGGACAGTAATTTTAAAATTGTTGTCATTTTGACCAATTTTAATAATTTTTATTTAATACTTAATGTTAATTATTTGTATACATTTTGTTTAAGATAAAAGACACACAGTCTCAGTTGCCTACATATATGGATTATATGCAGTGGAATGGACAACAAAACCCCCAGAATAACTCTGCAATGGATTATAATACTATACCGTTGACCAGTCACAGTGAAATCACAGGGGTCACTTTTAAGATTTCACCCCAACTGCAGGTTATTTTTGACCTGCATGAAGCTGCTTCACATGGTAATCCTGTCCACCGAAGAGACCTGGACATCTCTAGAGCTAGTTACGACTTTTCATTGGAAGAGAAAGTGCTACGTGATGCTCAGACTATGGCACTTCGATGAAGTTGGCCTTTGGACAAAGTTCACTGATGATTGTTGCCTGAAAGTTGAGAAAACTTATTATTTTCTCAGTGATTTGAAGAATACATATCTGATTATGTTTTGTTGAATTTCCATGAATGCTCAACTTGTTTTGGCCAGTAAATAGCAAAATCACATTTTCCCCCCAAAAAATGCAGCAATGCAACACTTGCAGTAGACATTTTTTTCCTTGTAATGTTTTTGCGATTATGATTAGAAATATTCTTATTTATCTTTAATATTTCTGTGTGATTTAAGATAGAACTGTTCTTTAAAACTTTTGTGCCAACTTAATTTTTTTCAACCTAGTGAACTTGAGAGAAAGCAATTTTTTAAACTGCAAGTTTATGTGCACTTTCCAAGTGTATGCAAATACAATGCTATGTGTTATTTTGAAAGCCCATTTTTTAAATTAAAATTCTCTTCTTTTTTCCTTTGGAATACTCTTGACAATACCGTGAAGCTCATGCAGTTCCAAAGAAGGAATATAGAAACATCCCCTCCAGTTCTTCCTGTATTTATTACTCATCACACACCGTTAATGTGAAGTTACGCAAAAGGAGATAACTTTGGGTGGTGAAAGGAATGTTCTGCATAAATAAGCCTTGATTTTTGCACTTGATACCATTATATCTCAGAGATTCCAATTATTGATGATTGCAGGAATTTCAGATTTTGTGTTTAGGGCTGTCATGATTTTTGAATTGTTTGCTAAATTCAGATTTCTCAGTGGGCTTACTATGTACTTTTTTGATTTGTACACTTGTTTGACTTCAGTGTAAATATTAGGTAAACCAGAAAAATGCCTAATTTACATTTCCAAGGGGTTTTTTTTGAGTCATTGTTTTGTTAAGTATTTGTGTATGGTTATTTGGTGCTTGGGAACATAAACAAAATTTATATTTGCATATATGTATCTGTTTCTCTAATTTGTTCAATTATTTACTCGTATATATGGACTGATTTAGTAAATTGGAGTAGAATAGCTTTAAGCACATTTCCCTATCTAGTCTTTTTGAAATGTATGGCATTTTATAACTAACTTTTCTTTGCTTCCAAACCTGAATGATATTGAACATTTTGTCTTTAATATCTGTGATATACCGGTATAATAATAAATTACCATGGATAATTCTGTGTTTTTCTTTATTTTTAAGAGATATTAAAGAGTTTGGGAAACAGAGGTAGTTGTTTTGTATACACCCCCTCCTCCCACCCACTTGAGTCCTGTTTACAAAATAAGTGCCTGTGTAAGGAATCATCTCATAAGATATTCCATACATGAACAGAATTTAATTTTTCATTTGTGCAGATCAAGGATCGTGTAAGTGTTAAAATATTGAATGTAAAGTTTAATCAATTCATCTATGTATAAATATATATTTAACGTAAATGCTAGGTATATTGAATAAGAAATGGATATTACCATATTATAAAACTGAACAAACTTAGAAGTAATTCAAACATGTATATGTAATAACGAAAAAGTTGGTTCAAGTTGAAATACAGAATGGCCAAATAATTCCAGAGCAATGGTATCGATGAACAAAAGCTGTATCAAAACTCTTTTATTGAAATTCATTTTGCATGAAATAAATTTGTAACTGCATATGCATGACAAGGAGCACACGGCGGGTTAATAGAGATTAATGGCGGATGTGACCAGTCGGCAGGGGATGCTCACTCCTGCATGGTACCTGATCCCACCTCTGATTTTTTAAGATCCGTGGGTTGTCCAAAATCTGTATCGTTTAATTTTGTGATTTACTGCCATCTCCGTAATATATAATGTACAAGACATACAAGACATGACAAAATTTACATGCTGTGAGTACTTCATTATTAACGAAGTACCCACAGCATATATAATAATGCAAAAACCACCTCATCAAAATGAGGATCCATTATATAAGACAGCTATGGTGTTCCTTATACGTATACTAATGATTCTTGTTTCCTGAGATCGTATCTATATCCTGAAAGCAAACTGAAAGAGATAGGACTAATTGTGTTGAAAATCCTCCCTTTTTTTAATCAGTTCTATTTCCTTCGACCTCCACTCAAGCAACGCGTTTTCAAGTGGAGCTGGGACCTTCATGAAAAAAGTTGAAAAGCTGAATAAGAATTATAAAAAACAATATAAACTGTCCGAACTCAAAAATATTATTTCGTTGATCTCAATATTTACTAAGTAGTGCATTGCTGCCCCACCCCACCTAGTACTACTAGTATACGGCTTGGTATAAATAAATCTGATCTCGGGGAAACGGAATTTTACGCTCTAAATGATCATGATGTTAAAAAAAAATTGTTCATCTATTCATTAAATCAATTAAAGAAAAACATCAGAACAAGAAAATAAGCTAATATACCGCTGATCGTTTGGTGATTATATACAGAATGATATAAATGTAAAATGTATTCTTAAAAATCCCTTCGTTTTAGTCAGTCAATCGAATCAGATGTATGAACAGTTTGTGCAACCTGGCTTAAACAGTTTAATACTCGCTTATTTAAACCGCATCGATGCAATTTTCAGTTTACTTAATTCAGAACTATCTAATTGTAAGGACATTACTAGAGGATCAATTTTGTGTATTAATACTATAAAATATTCTTCTTGACAATTACTTTATAGACTCTGATTCTAAAATTGTGCAATTCTGAACTTTTTGTGAATTTCATAAGTAAGACTGAATCGAAATTTCAGTCGTGTAACGTGAACAATAGTTCTGATTAATTAATTTTTTTTTTACCTGAGTACTTTTTTTCCAGAGGTCTTATTCCGAGGTAAGAAGATATGACTTTAAATGGCAGAGGCAATTTAGCAGCTGGGAATGTATACCCAATCAACGGAGAAACTAGGTAAGTAATTCATATCTATTGAGCTACATGTATAATATTTATTTTAAAGTAATTGGAATATTTTAGATATGAAGAACGAGAAATGTACTTTTTAAAATAATTATGATAGATCAATAACAGTGAATTATAATTACAGGAACTATCGAACATCTGGGAATTTCTACCCAATAAATGGAGAAATCAGGTAAGTTAAGATTAATATCAATTAATAATTGCAACTTATTTTACGATTGATTGATTTTATGTTGTATTCTTCCACATAAAATTTGTTCGTTTTTGTATGTAAATCATCCCATCCCATATTGGAAAGATAACTTCTTTTCCGTTTTCCGTGCGAATGTTGTACAAACTACAGATTTTTCATTGAATGGTAATTTTTCGTAAAAAAATATTCCAAGTCACGCATAACTCCAGATCCTAAGGTAATTTTTTAAACATCGTTGTTTTGCAGCAATGTTTCAAACGGTGTTTTTAAAGAATTAATATTTCCATTGCAAGTACATGTAATGCCCTTTTATTAAAGAAAGATCTAACTTATAAAAATACCACATGTATATCCTGTAAGAGTGTTTCTATGAATAAATAATTGAACTAAACATTTATAATAAGAATAAATTTTACATATAGTCATTTCTAGATGCTTCAAACTCGTCAAAATATTGAAATACCTGTCCAACTCGTGTAAATTTTTATTTCCATATTAATATCCAACTACATGTATATACAAAGCATATACATTGTACATACTCTTCTTTTTAAAATATTTTCTTACTAGTTTACATGTATATATGTGACTTTTCGTATAGCGCGTTGTGGTAGCCTTTAAGTTTCTCAAGGCTTAATCTACTGGGGAATTTGTAGATAGTCAAATTCATTAACCAAGCTGTCATTTGGTTTAAGAATAAAACCTTTTGCAATACCTCACACGCCGCCTGAAGTCACAGTCCGCATATACATGTTAAATCTATGTAGCCCTCTCCTAGAATGGGAAAGGGTCGTATAGTTTGGGCAAAATTTGCGACGATGTACTTGAAGTTAAGAAAATTATCTTTTCTTTGAGGCTAATCCAAGGTTTTTTTTCTGGCATTTTTTCCTGATACCCCTATCCTCTTTCAAAATCGACCCGTAAAAGATCCTGGCATTACTTCCTTTTTTATTGCAACTAACGTAGATTTTTTTTTGAAAAATACAAATGAATAAAAGTGTTGATGTTTTCATCCTTCTTCTCTCATCGTATTTGGCAAGGACTTTTGCAAGATGGGATGAACTGCTTTATGGGTTTGTATCATTTAATCATTGAATACAACAATCATAAATGTTTGTTTTTATAGTCAGTAGATGATTTAGCCACCTTCGAAGTACAATATTCACCTCGCTTTTCGGTCTCGGTAAATAGTGTACTCATCAGATGACTAAAATCATCCTACTGGAAATAATTGTGAAACTTACAATACCAATGAAAAACACACCGTGTTTCATCAATATGGAGCCAAAACATGGTGTGTACATAAAGATGTCAATAACAAAGTACAAAGAAAATGTCAATGTAGTCAGGTGGTTTTTTTTTCATTGTTATTAACTATATAATATGATTATAATAAATATTTTTATGTTGGGAACATATATACAACAGCTGTATTGGAAATATACATTATCAATGAAAAAAACACCGTCTGCCAACAAATGGTGCTAAACATGGTTATGGGTGTACAATAGTAAAGAAAATGTCAATATAGACAGGTTTTTCTTTATTTCTCCATGTTCATATTGATTCCTTCTACTTGCAATATACTTACTGCACAGGAGGCGTATCCAGGAATTTCATATAAGGATCAATTTAGTCATTATATATAAATGAATTTTCAAAAATTGAAGGGGAGGGGGTGCACATGTTGCTACCACTTTGAGATTCTGGAAACATCCAGGGCAAATCCCTTGTGGGAGTCCAGAGGAAATTGACCTCAGAATTAAAATCCCTGAATAAAAGAGGTCTAGGATCAAAATGAGCAACCAAAGGCGAAGTCATAGGTGCACTCTATCCATTCTTTACGCCGACTCCTATTTATTTCAGTATCACATCAAATAATGCATTTCTTTTTTACCTTTTCGAGTTTTTCGTTATTTACTTGGAAGTACTACCTGGTCAATACATGGGACTTGCGGCGAGTGGGACCGGGTGACAGGGGATGCCTACTCCCCCAAGACACCTGATCCCACCCCTGTACGTTCAGGGGTCCGTGTTTTTGTCCTCTTCACAATTCTTTTTTTTTTTTTTTGCTTGATTAATGGGATCGATCACCGTTTTCCCAACATTTTACATCAATCATGCTAAATCGAACCCTTCTTGAAATACCAGGTATATTTTTAAATATTATCCCCTCACAACTTCAAGATTACTTTGGTTTTTATATCCTTTTTATCGATTTACCATTTGGTGAAACAAATATTTCAAAGACATTTCAAAACTATCATTTATAAAGATCTTTTTGATCCAGAATGAATTTGCTGTGCAAATGTATGAGAAAGAAAAAGTCCAATAAGTCATGTTTAGTGTCTTCAAAATTTCATATACTATGTATTGAAACTTTGCCAAATTTTTATTAGATATAAAAATGTATATCAATTTTATTGAATATATATATTTAGGGCAGCTTAAAAATGATATCTTAAAAGTTAATAAAGCTACCTAAACTGCTTTCTTTTCGATAAACTTGTTCAGAAGTTGCAAACAAAAATGTAGCACTCTGAGGGAAAATTGGCTATCGATCTTGAAAGCTACACTTGCAAATAAAAAAAAAGATGTTTTAAATCACTGATGCCCCCGATGTAGCTCATGGCAAAGATTAAAGTTTCTCAAATGTAAGTCAAACTTCAAGGTCAAGAGATAAAAATAATGATAGGATCACGGTACTAAAAGGAGGGTTCTCTCACCTGTAAAATGCTAGTAAAATAAAAGTAAGAAAGTCAACAATATTATTGACCAAGGTTAAATTTTTACAATAAAATTTAGAAAATAAAGTAGGTCAATCTCAAAGGAAAAAGAAAGAATTTATTGTTCCCAAGTGAAGGATCTGTCAGTCACAAAGAATATACATGTGAAATACAAATGTCCAAGTATTAACTCTACAAAAGAAAAGGTATGACCAAGATTAAAGTTTTTTTCATATGTTACACTCAAAGGTCAAGGTGAAAGGGTAAAAATGGTTGGTTCCCAATGCAGGGGCTGATCTTATCAAAAGAGATTCACCTATGACATATGAAAGTCATAAGCACTTACTGTTCAAAAGTTATGGCCATGGTTAATTTTTTTAAAGTATGTCAAACTCCAGTTGCAATATCAAGGTGAAAAGGTAAAAAATAAATGTACCCAAGGAAAGATCTAATCATAAGGAATATACATGTGAGGTAGAAAATCCATAGCACCAGGTTCAACTGTTATCTTTTTGTCCGCAAAAACTTAAACCTTGCCCACATCTTTTGATTGGTTAGAGCTATGTCTTTCACAGGTGTATTTCTTGTAACAGGGCTTTTCTTTGAGTGCAAGATAACGACCTCTTGACCTTGCAGTTTGACACACTTTTACATGTACAATATTTTACAAAGCTAACTTGACCATATCTTTTGAACGGTTATATACTGTGTATTTCACATGTTGTTTCCTTGTGACAAGACCCTTTTGCCCCTTTAACCCTGACTTTGGAGTTTGACGTTCTTTTGTAAAACTTAAATCTTGGTGTTAAGGTGCCGTTCATAAATCAAAAGTGTTTTTCTAATCACAATACTGAACTTTTTGGATATCATTATTTCAAACTCTTGATCTTTGGGTTTCCTTTTAGAAATTTTGCCTTTGTCATGAGCTGCCATATACGGGGGAATCAGTATTTCACAAACATTTTGTGTTTCAATACTGCTTTCAATGTAAGCCTAATTAAAAATTTTAGTTGTGTAAACGTTAAACTGGAAAATGCACACGGAACATTTAAACTAACAAAACTGTTATATTACAATATTAGATTAAATGGCTTCGCCAAATATAATATTGTATAACTTACATGTAAGAGATATCACCTCTTAAATGCACGAGAGATGCAAAGAAATTTGAATTTTGGAGAAGAATATATGATTGTGTTAGTCATCTTTAACTGGAGTCATGGATGACTTCAAGACCAAACATGAAAATGCATTTCAAAACTTTGTAAAAAAAAAAAAAAAAAAAGAAGAAAAGGAGTTTAAAGATTTGATAGATTTTGGTTTATTCGAATAATTATAACAATATCTTTTAAAATTGAGTTTTTGAGAAGTCGATCTTGTGTTGTCTTCCGCATTGTTAAATGTAAAATAAATTAATAAAATCTTGAATTTTCCTTAAATACACATGAAGTTGTAAATTTAAGATTCTGATAAATTTAGACGAGAAAAAAGACGTTTAAAAGACGTACAACACCTCGTATATACATAAAAGAGTTAATGTATATAGGTGTAGTAGTCTTTTTTAAAAAAGATATTATTATTATCATAATTCATGTTATTATTATTATTCAAATCAACCCAAAACTATGTAGGTTTCCAATGAAAGCAGTATTGAAACAAGGTGTGTTTGTGAAATACTGATTCCCCAGTATGGCAGCAAATGGCAGAATCAAAAGTTCTAAAAAGCAAGTCAGACTCAAAGGTTAAGAGTTTGAAATAATGGTATTAAAAAAGTAAGTATTGTGAAAAGAAAATCACCTTTGAAATATATAAAAGAATTTATGTATATATAGGTGTGGTTTGTCTTTTTTAAATGTGGTTTTGTGGCCCGAAAGTGTCAGAATCTTTATTTTAACAACTTTTTAGTGTTTTTAAGGAAGATTCAAGATTTTATTTATCTATTTTACATTTAACAATCCGGAAGGCAAGCTCCTATGATATTGTATACCTAGAAGCATTTTATATAGTATATGGGCTCCTTTTTAATTTTCTAACCCTCTTTAGATAAGATGAATTGATGTTGACTCTTTAGTATATATTGTAGCACATACGTAAGCTTTCACCTATGATGGCAAGTATTAAATCATTCTTTTCCTTCCCCCCTTGGGGAGCCTCTAGTTATTTTTACATTATGGAGGCTGTTTAACACAGTAGTAAAAATACACGCATGTGCATCATACCGGAATAGACCCTATCTTATGTAATTAGTTAAAAATTACTCTACACGTATATGCGGCTTAAAATTGGATATTTATTTTAGTGCTACTATAAATTCTTAAACTGTTGTGATTTATATTTTATTTAAATTCGGACTTAGTAAGATTAAGTTTCAATATGCCATTGTGACACGAAAAAAAGTTGGAACAACGTGGTTTTTTTGTTTACATGTTCCTTTGGTGAATAATCTTGGACAGCGTCTGATCATCTAAAATCAGGTAAGGCTATCTGTGCTTGTCCCTCTTTATGGTCATTTTTGACTAACTGTATTTTTTTTGTAACTGTGTAAGGCTATCCACACAACACACAGTACATTGCACGTGTAATAGGATTAGCCGCTGTTTTATTGATTATTGATAATGTTAGTGGACATTATAATCAGACAGAAGGCTGACGGACGATACATGACCTTAACTTTTACAAAGAATGTCCAGTATTGTTATAAATGAACAATACGTTTGCTTATTTTCCGTTTAAATCACGGGAATTTACTAGCTCATGTAATGGGGTACAATAAGGGAATCAACATGATCAAAGTTTTAAAGTATTAATGTTGTCCCCAAACCTTCTTTTTTCTCTCCTAAAAATCTTAAATCAAATTGAAACATGTTCAATTTAGTCCAATCGCTTCGTTATTGATTATACACATATAATAATTACATGAATTCGAACATAAATTTCCATTTTATTTCAAAATACTGGAATATAATTTTTTTCACAACAATTAAGAACATTCAAATTAATTGCCAAAAATGAACGATTTCTTTGAAATAAGGTCTTGTTTACATATTTAATTTTATTTATAGTTAGTGAGGTGAATACTTTAACTTTATCTTGCACGTGTCATGCAGCGGTCAGTTGAACCATGCGTAACGACCTTGACAAGAGGATGTACCTTTTCACTGTTTCCCATGAATTTGAAATGAAATCCTTGTAAATAAAAATATTATGATATATATAAATAAAACTGACACAGATGTACCTTATTTTTCACATTCATTGTTATGAAAAGTGTATTCATTTACATTATGATAATAAAATTTATATTGATTTGGGGGAAACGCGGTTATATTATGAAAACGAGAAGTCTTCCATTTTAGAAGAAGAATAGCTATTTAATTTAAAAAAATCTTAAGTCAAAATCGTTTTTCAAAATAATATCTATGACAAAGTACTAGATGAACTATGCTAGGTTCATGATGATGTATCATAAATTCACAAGTCTTAGGTATACTTAAGCCTAGTATTATATATAAATTTTCATTCTGAAGTTGTAAGTGTACTTAAGAGAATAGCTGTCAGTACTTCGGGGATCTGAACTGGGCCAGAGTATTTCATTTATGATAGCTCTGTCCAGAGCAGGCTTTGGCTATTAGAACCAGTATTATACAGTCTGAATTACACAAAAAATGAATCAAAATGAATTCTCTTAAATTGTTTTTAAATCTAAATTATTATTAAATGTTAAAAACATTTTTCTTGAAGGACATGTTTTTCTCTTCTTCTTCTCTGACATTCATCTTTTATCCTGCAACATAATTACACAATGTCAAAGTTCAAAATATCACACACAAGAAATTTTTTGTCCCCTCTTTATCATGTTTATTTTTGCTCCTTTCGGTTTCGTTGCAAAAGGGCGAAATTTAAACTGGGAGAATTCAACGAAAAAAAAGTTGCTATTATTAGCATATCTGTATTTTGACAAATTTAAAACTGGCGAAATTATTTTCAAACATGAAAGGGTGAACATAACACGGAGCGAAAATAACCTTGTGTGCTTATTGTTTCTATAGACAAGAATTCCTTGCTTGTTGTTTGCAGGTCAAATATCGGTCAAAATGAACACCATCTCTGTATACTTATTAATTTCCTCGTTTACCACGGTAACGTTCATATTAAAAACCTGACCTTCACCGTAAATTAATCATTTCAAATTTCGCCCGTAGTTTCTCATACTAATATATACTGTAATGTCCTCTATCTATGCATTTTGTAATGTTCTAGTTTTTGAATTTTCCCTGCTAGATGTTTATATGAGCTCGAACATAACAACTTTGACAACAGGAATATGTAATCATGGAGAAGTCATGTTTAACTCTTTTTGAATGAAAGAAAAGGGTTAAAACCATACAGAACAATCTGATCTTAATTTCAGAGAAAAAGATTTCTGAACAAAGTTAAAGAAATTAAAAGTATGAAGCTGCCCAATTAATTTCAATTAGATATGTAAAGCATTTTTTTTATTTTAATAGATGAAAAAGAACTTTAATTCCTCCAGGGCTCTTATATTTCTCTGTCATAATTTTGACCGAATTGCCCTGACTGTTTTAAGAAATAGTTCAAAGTAATTTGTCTTTGTTTTAGTCGGCAGCTTTGTGTCTTATTTTTTAATAAGTTGTTGGTATTTTGTTGTTGTTGATTTTTTCAGATTCAAATTTCTCATTATCATTTGAAAAGATATTTTTTAAAAGACAACAAGCGCCAATATATTTCGACGAATGTTAATGTTTCCTATTTCACAATCTTATAATGGAGCTATTTAAGTAAAACACGTAAGTGTTATTCAAGTAAATTTATAAATCAAATGGTTATACATTGTATTTCTAACTTGATATCACACTTGTAAATCCACAGTTTGTTAAAGACTATTAGATATTTATATAGAGTCAGTAATTATGGAATGCCAAAAGTTATTGTTAATTTTGAATATACCTGTTAACGTATAAAATTTAAAAATGATACAAGATGTTAGCTTTGTAATTTTACTTTCATGAAAAAAATATTAAAACCCAGATATGTCTAAGTTACGGTTTTTTTCTCGATCATCTAACATGAAACAGTTTTATATGATGAGCTTTCCGCGAAAACTGTGGACTTCCATGTTTCATGATTAATGTTTTAAGGCTCAAAAGTTTTGTTTTGTATTGTTTGTTTATGTATTAGTGTATTTATTTATTTATTTCGTTTAGCGTAATTACAGTAAAAATAAGTTTTTTCAGTAGATTTTTATTACAAAGCGAAGTTTTATTGAGTCGTACCCTTTTTATTAACTTGAAAACGAACCAAAAATGAAAACTTTTATTCAAATTTTTGTACATTTAATCGGATCTTCCAATGTTCTAAATTTTGTACTGAGAGTACCCGGAAATTGGACGATTCCATTTAAAAGAAAAAAAAAACCAATATCGTGTTTTGTTATTTTTATATGCCAATACTGATGTATATATAGATTTCTTGTTGAAGCTTTTTAAATGTGTCTCACTCCCTCACTTTGATTTATAGAGGAACAACACGTAGCAGTACAGGTCAGTTTATTTATCATACTTTTATTCACATGTAAAAAGTCGTGAAATACCTATAATTTATTTTATATAGCTAACATTGATTAAAAAAAAAATGAATTTTATCACGAAATGTGTATTTATAGTTTTAAATGTATGGTATCATATTTTCAACCTCTGACCTGTTTGCATGTGAAAGTGTATCTTTAAATATTTCATGTGAATTAAGGGAAAAAGAATACATGTATTTATTTTAAGATAATACCTGTAGTTTTCAAAGAAATTTATATTTCTCTTGTACACTAAAAAAGTGAAATCAGTTATTGTGGTTATTTTTTTAAGCCAAGTAACTCATGATTGTTAATATTGCAGTTCAACTTCTACACCACTAAATAGTAATTTTTCTCCAATATATATTTTTTCTTTCTTTTTTGAAGTATTAGTATTGAATACGATAAAGATTAGATTATTCTTGGACACATTTTTGATTACAATAAAGATTTAAATTATTCTTGGAGACATTTTTTACTTCTGGAGTTTTGAATTTAGTACAATACTAGTAAATACAAGTGTTGATGAATTTGAGAATTAACCCTGGTGAACATTTAAATTTAAAGTTGTTTAAAATTTGAAATTAATATAAATTGATAACCAGTTCTCAAAAGGATGTATAATATTCCCGGGTCTTCTTTACAAGAAAGATTTTTGAACTTTCAGATTTATAAAAAAAAAAATCAAAACTTTATGACCTATTCTTAAAAAATACAACCACGGTTTAAAGAGGCAACAAGGTATCAATTTGATTTTTTTTTATTTCAAAGATTTTCTTAAAAAGTTTGTAAATTGATTTTTTTTTGATAAAATAAAGACATTATGCTTTAAAAAAACCTTGTAATATGACGTGCGACATTCAACTAATTACTTTTGACATTCTTGGATTTCATACACTGTATATACAGTATAATTTGTCCAAACCGGCTACCGCCGGTTCCATAAAATTTGGCCGGTTTAGACAGAATCCGGTATGCAGAAAAAATGCAGGAAAATATCAATTTCGAAAATTTTCGTTGTTTATTTACAAGTACATCATATACATATTATAAATAAAATTAAATGATGAAATCAATAAATGTTTTGGAGTCTAGAAATTATAAAATAGTCTCACAAGACTCACTGTATTTTCTTATTTGTTCACAAATTTTGAAAGTCGGGTGAAATGTTACTTCAATCAAAATATAAAGGCACGCATAATATAGGCCTACTATGTATTAAGCGGACCGGGTTTCGCTTGTCAAAGACCTCATTCAATGAACCGGGGTATTAACAGTAATGCACAATTACATGTATTTACGATGTGCTTATTATTAGATTTAACTTTTGATTTTCATGTAAAAAATTACGTCTTCCCCAACAGTGTTATGGCGCCATTTTGAAATGCGTTCGATTTTCCATCCCGATTTATATTTTGATTTGTAAATCGCGTATTTTGTGTTTATGTTATAATGTGGTAAAAGGAGTTAAAACAAAGTTAATTTTATTAAAATTGTAATTTAATCATATGATATATTTTTCAAGTGGGCTGTGTTACCGCCGCATTTCACTGAGTTCGTCTCATGGCACTAATCATGCTAATGTAAACACGGATTATCAATTCCACCACGAAAGGTGTTAATTGCTTTGAAGTAACTCAGGTGTGGCTGTATTTAAATAGGCAAGTTTCGGCATTAATGTTAGTCTTATAAAGGATTTCAATAGTTCACCAAGAAATCACAACCCATGTAAATAGAGTCAAAAGTACAAGTATGTATAATATATAGGACCTCATTGTAAAAGAAGACAATGTTTTCTAAGGGGCCAATTGTCAGAATCATATTAAAACTGCATGGTCGAAACATTTGCGGAGTCAACGAAAATGTGTAGATAAAGATCTTTATTCT